TTTTTTTTTTTTTTGCAGTTTTTGGCCGGGGCTGGGTTTGAACCCGCCACCTCCAGCATATGGGACCGGCACCCTACTCCTTTGAGCCACAGGTCCTGCCCAAGTCCTTTTTTGTGTGTGTGTGTGATAGGGTCTCACTTTGTCACCCAGGCTCATGTGCAGTCCTTACCATAGCTCAATTGCTTCCTTGCTAGGCTCAAGCAATCCTCCTCCCTCAGCCTCTGGAGTAGGTAGAACTATAGACAAATGCCACCATGCTTGGCCAAGAAATAAAATCTTAATATATCCATGTCCTCGTTCTCATAACTAAGTGGCTAGTGGGAGAGAGAAGCATGTAATATATGAATATTAGTAATGTGGCTAAGTTTCTCAATGGTAACAAGTTGCTACATTAAAATTTGGCTTAGCACACTCCTTAAAAAGAAGTGATTTATGAAATACATAGATGCCTTTGACTGAATATCATTTATTCAGGGAAGGCAGACAGATATGCTTCCTAATCTAAATATTAGTTGATGGCTCAGCACCTATAGCTCAGTGGCTAAGGTGGCAGCCACGTAGTAAATCAGAGCTGGCAGATTTGAATCCAGCCCAGGCCTGCTAAACAACAATGACAACTACAACAAAAAAATAGGTGTTATGGCAGGTGCCTGTAGTCCCAGCTGCTTGGGAGGCTGAGGCAAGAGGATCGCTGAAGCCCAGGAGTTTGAGGTTACTGTGAGCTGTGATGCCATAGCACCCTGCCCAGGGCAAGAACCTGAGACTTGGTCTCAAAAAAAAAAAAGAAAGAAAAAATTAGTTGATAATAATCAACTTGCCTGGCTGTCACTTGATGTAAGTTATGGAGAGGTAGATTTAGGATTCTTTTTTGTTTTGTTTTGTTTTTTGAGACAGACAGTGTCTCACCATGTTGCCCTTGGTAGAGTTGGTAGAGTGCTGTGGTGTCACAGCTCACAGCAACCTCCAACTCTTGGACTTAAGAGATTCTCTTACCTCAGCCTCCCAAGTAGCTGGGACTATAGGCGCCTGCCACAACGCCTGGCTACTTTTTCCTTGTAGTTGTCGTTGTTGTTTGGCAGGCCTGGGCTGGGTTTGAACCTGCCAGCCCTGGTGTTTGTGGCCGGTGCCCTAGCCACTGAGCTACAGGTGCTGAGCCAAGGATTCTCTTGAGAGATATTATATTCTGTATAGGAGGTACATACAAATAAAGTAATTACTAAAATTGGCTCCTCTTAGGGATTAGTAAGTTAATAGAAAGGCAGCACAATACGGTGTAAGGTGATACAGATAAGAACCTAAATTCTAGTGGTAGGGTGGCTCACGCCTGTAATCCCAACACTCTGGGAGGTCTAGGCCGGTGGATTGCCTGAGCTCACAGGTTTGAAAACAGCCTGAACAAGAGCAAGACCTTGTCTCTAAAAATAGCTGGGTGTTGTGGGGATCTGTAGTACCAGCTACTCGGGAGATTGAGGCAAGAGAATGATTTGAGCCCAAGAGTTTGAGGTTGCTGTGAGCTATGATGTTACAGCACTCTACCCAGGGCCACAAGTGAGACTCTGTCTCAAAAAAGAAAAAAAAAAAAGAACCTAAGTCCTGGCTCAAGCATTAGCTATGACCTTAGCTATCTTAGATCTATCTTTTGACTTCTTTTAACATGTTTTCTCATTTTTGAAATACATTAAGTATCTTACGGAAAGCCTTTAGTATAGTGCCTACATCCTGATAATTTAATAATTAATAACCAGTGTTTTAGACAGAAATCTGCCTGTGGGATCCAGGAAGTTGTAGATGAGGAGGTCATCTTAGACCATGGAGAGAGAATGTGGGATGTGGAGGTGCAGCAGTTGGTGAGTTGTCTCTCGTAGTTATCACCAAGAGGAACTTGATTTCATCAGTACATGTTGTGTCTTAGTGTTTTGTTTCTAAGACAGAGTCTCAAGCTGTCACCCTTGGTAGAGTGCCGTAGCATTGTAGCTCACAGTAACCTCAAACTGTTGGGCTCAAGTGATTCTCTGGCCTCAGTATTTCTAATTTTTTTTTTTTTTTTTTAGTAGAGACAGGGTCTTGCATTTTACTTAGGTTAGTTTCGAACTTGTGAGCTCAAGCAGTCCACCCAGTTGGGCCTCCCAGAGTGCTAGCATTACAGGCGTGAGCCACTGCGTTTGAAATGCCCTTATGTTTTGGTCTTTAAAAAACTATATCTTGGCTTGGTGCCTGTGGTTCAGGTGGCTAGGACGCCAGCCACATACACCTAAGGTGGCGGTTTCGAAGCCTGGGCCTGCCAAACAACAATGATGGCTGCAACCAAAAAATAGCCAGGCGTTGTGGCAGGCGCCTGTGGTCCCAGCTACTTGGGAGGCTGAGATAGTAGACTTGCTTGAGCCCAGGAGTTGGAGGTTGCTGTGAGCTGTGATGCAACGGCACTCTACCCAGGGGGACAGCGTGAGGCTCTGGGCCCTCCCCCCCCAAAAAAAACTCTTAGTTCCTGTTTTGAAAGCATACAACCTGAGCAATATCTCCAGAACAACCTTCATGTTGAAATTTAAATGGTGTCAAAGTTTGCATTTTGTTATAAAAATCAACACTGAACCTTTGAATATAGTGACACTGGGTGCTATTGCTACTAAAATGACAACAAACATGAAATTGTGTATTTTTTTTTAAAGGAAATTGGTTTTTTTTTTTTTTTTTTTTTTTTTTTTGAGACAGAGCCTCATGCTGTCCCCCTGGGTAGAGTACTATGGCATCACAGCTCACAGCAACCTCCAACTCCTGGGCTCAAGCGAGTCTCCTGCCTCAGCCTCCCAAGTAGCTGAGACCACAGGCGCCTGCAACAATGCCCAGCTATTTTTTGTTGTTGTTGTTGCAGCCTTCATTGTTGTTTGATGGGCCCGGGCTGGATTCGAACCCACCACCTTAGGTGTATGTGGCTGGTGCCTTAGCTTGAGCCATGTATTTTGTGTACAGTGTGTGCTTTTGGAGGAGGGTGATGAGGAGAGGGAGGAGGAAGCAGAGGAAAGCATAGTATAGAAAGAGCTCATTTGAATTCCCTCCTGCAGAGAAAGAAATGAAGAATAATGTCAAGCAAGAACCCTTTGAGAAGAAAGATTATATCATAGAAAATGAGAAGGAAAAGCCCAAGAGTCGATCTAAGAAAACTACCAATGCTGTGAGTTGACATCTATCCTTTTTTGTCCTCCCCACCGTTTTTCTCATTTCTTCCTTCACTTCTTTCTTTAAACACCTTTACTCCTAATTGTATACTTTTGTGTTGTACTTAAGATTGCTTAACTTTGTGTCTGACAATGAAATATCTCTTCAAGTCAGTTTATAGTATCAGTTATAAATTAGGCAATGCACATTTGTATTATGAAGATGGTGGTACCATCTTGGGCATTGACAACCATTTTCTATAGGACATTCAGTTTAGTACTGAATAATAATGAGCTAGGCAACACATGGAATTGTGCATAAATCACTAGCTCTCCTCACATGAGTTGAAGGCTACATCAAAAATCAAGTTAGTGCTAGCAAGGGCAAGGAAGGAAATGGATGGAAAAAATTACAAGGAAAAGGGAAGAAGGAAGAGGACATAAGGAGTGAAATGGAAGGAGAGAGGGAAGGAGGAGAAAAAGAAAAGAAAAGTGGAGTTGGGGGTTGGGAGGAAGACATAGCAGAAAGAATTAGAGGACTGGGGAGCTGTTTATTCGTAGAAAACTTTCATTAAAAGTAAATCTGGGCT